TTTTAAAATAACACGCTCAGATCACACATACAATGCTAGAAGACAGAAATATAGTGTTATGGTTCCGACATATATCAAAACAGTGGGACAGAGGCACTGCAGCTATCTGGTTCCAAAAACTTGGGATTTACTGCCTGAAACCCTAAAAACTAGTAAAAAGTTTAAGGAACAAGTGAAAAATCGGCTAAATAGTTAGACAGAGATATATTTCAAGAAATCATTTTACTGTATAAACCGCAAAAATTCAAACCTGTTATGATTAATCAGTTTTAACAAATTGCTTGTCCTATTCAAAAGACAGTGATATATATCTCTAAACAGACTCTAGATGTGACTTTTCACCGGCTGTGATATTCATCTTATGTAATACCTTGCATGAAACTATTAACCATCCATTAGTGATATTTAGATACTGTGATATATGAATATTATGTTCACTGAGATTGCAAACCGATCATGTTATTCACTTGACCTGGATGTGACATGTTTACCTATCATTATGAAATTTTAAATATTGTGTTATGTGCTTGTGATTTTTTTATCAATTCTACAGGTTATATCACACACAAGGAGCAATCTTGCGATTGTTTCTTCAGTGATGCCATTGTTTATTGTCTATTTATTCAGCTCTCAAGCACTACTCATATAAACATTTTGTTTTCGAAATTGTAATTTTTTATATTTATTATTATTTTTTTTCACCGAAGTGTGCGCTGGTCAGGCCCTATNGAGTACATGGCGTGCTCTTGCGATTTCTCTAATTCAATAAGAAAATAGTTGTGTAGCTCAGAAGTGACTAGCTCTTGAGTTTGCGGATGCAAGGTTTGACTTTAATTTTTTTATATCTAGGAATTGAAATAAAATTATTGAAAAGGAACCTCCAAGTCAGCTGATCTCATTTGGACGCCATCTCCAGTGAAATGTAAAAATATTATTCTCCCTGTAGAATAACTCATTTGCACTTACACAAGAGGTACTCCAATAAAATAATCCAATCAAACAATGGATGAGGTTCACCTGTTTGTTTAATACTATAAAAATTATCAGAGGGTCACAGATTCGAAAAAATACTGAATGTTCAATACTTTTCATCCGTTTCCTCGATTGGAATATTTATCAATCTGATCATTAGCATGATATAGGGACTCAAAACATGGTTTATTGCATTGAACCTCACAACACATTATCCTGTCTCCAAGAACCATCAAGGAAACACCGATTTTCTTTTCTTTTCGTCAGAATCATGTAGGATTTAGGTGCCCCGATATTCTATCCAGAGGTTCGAAAACTGTCTCCACTTTTAAGATCCGACTCTGGTTTATATTTCTTATTCATAACCCCAAGTACAATTTTAATTCGACCCTAAATACAACGTCGACAACAAGCGTTTTCGATTTACCTGAATTCGTCTGGCAGAACTGTCTGGCACAAAAAAGACCCTTTCAAATTAATATATTTCACAAATAGAATCAGTTTTAGTTCAGAACTCAGGCAATGTTACTACCTGTTCCGTCAGTATACACGAATATAAATTCGGAATGTCAAAGTAGAGTATGTTGAAGTAGTTGGAAGCATGTTGTTTATTGTCCCTTCAATCATTCAGGTTATTAGAGACGGCATTATACATGTCATAGTAAATATAAAAATGTGAATAATAGATACAGTTAATCTAATATAATCTAAATTTCATTGACTAAACCAATATCAGTTAGGTAATCTATAAACTGGGAGAGATTGCAACCTTCCTTCAAAAGTTCGGCAAGAGTTGAAGGAAATTGACCACCCTATTATCGTCTGTTATTTTTTTCAAGATAATGATTGGACATCGTAGACGTGTAAAATATCGATTGCCCCTTTCTCAAAATGGAACTACAACTTGTAGGATAAGTAAAACAAGGTATGAAATTGAAATACTTACAATTTTCAAAAGCAGATTTGACATCCTGGAGAATTATGATTTCAGCTGTAGCAGAGTCGAAATTAAAATTATTTATTACTTCACAAAATGATGATAGCTCGCCAAAATATTAAATTTGAATGACCAGTTCTTTCGCCAAATTAGATAGTGGAATTTTTACTTTGGCATAAAAATAACGGTAGTTTTTTGTGAAGTAGTTGTCAGATTTGACATTTTCGAGAATTATGATTTCAGCTCTAGGAGAGTCAAAATTGAAATTACAAAATGATAAATGCTCGCCAAAATATCAAATTAGAGAGTGGATTTTTTACATAAAAATAAAAGTAGTTTTTTATGAAGTAGTTGGCAGATTTGACATCTTCGAGAATTGTGATTTCAGCACTAGGAGAGTCAAAATTAAAATGTATACCTAATAAAATGACAAACGCTTGCCAAAATATCAAATTTGAATAGCCAGTTCTTTCGCCAAATTAGAGAGTGATTTTTCTATATACCTAAATATAAAAGAAGTTTTTTATGAAGTTGTTGTTTGTAAAGTAGTTGTTTGTGAAGTAGTTGGCAGATTTGACATCCTCGAGAATTATGATTTCAGCTCTAGGAGAGTCAAAATTAAAATTTATACTTCATAAAATGGTAAACTTTCGCCAAAATATCACATTTGAATAGTTTTTTCGCCAAATTAGAGAGTGGATTTTTTATTAAGTAGTTGTTTGATCTCTAGTTGATCTTGGAAAAACTTCAATAAGAGTATCATACTTTGAGTTGTTTCAATAACCCCAAATCTAGGAGGATTACCTATTCATTTGTATCATTTTCATAATATGTATTTCATTTGTCATTTGTAATTATGTTTCAATTCTAAGCTTATGTTGGAAACACATACTTCAACATATCATATTACAATCATTTTATTTCCTACTCGAACTCAACAATCAGCCCAATAAAATTCTTAATTTTGATTTGAAAAACTTTCAAATATATTGCGGCTCACATTCATGTTGATTCTATTTATTCGACATATGTTGGTTATTTGAATGAAACATGCTAGCTGTTACTATTCATATTATTATAGGATTACTGATACCATTTACGTCGCAACTATATTTTTGAAGCAGTTTTTTTATCGACCTTTTTTGGGTAATTGTTACCTTCCACAATCTGAAAAAATATAAAAATTATAATGGAGAACTTTATACAAGTGTAGAAGGGCAAACTTTTTAGTTTACCCCGATAAGTTACTGCGTAAAAATCAAAGTATTTTTCACAAAGAAAAATCTTCTATTTATCAGTAACTTGTCGTATTTAACAATTTCGCCTATCAAAAAAATTATTAAGAAATAATACTTTTCTTTTACGTTTCGGAGACCAAAATCTGCCTCCGTCTTCAGAAATAGACAAAAAATTAGAATATATTCGCAGTTATTCCTTTTTTGACAGCTTATTTCTTTACTTCTTCGACAGATGTCAATGAAGTTTTGAAAAATGTTTTCACAACTTCATTGACATGGGTAACAATTACCCAAAAAAGGTCTTGAAAAAAAACTGATTTTTTCCTCCACAAAAAATGATATTTTTGAAGCCTTGTGATACATGAACCTTCCGCCCAGAAACTTCTACCTCATGTACATCAGCTCATTATTTTTTTCTGTAAGCATTTAGTAGACTTTATGATTCAAATAATACTCTCTCGTAATACATTGCTGACGAGCTGACAGCTATGCTGGCATTCAGAGGAATAAAATGGTAGATCAAACTGCGGAAAAAATTAACCTACTATAATAATACTATAAGACACTTTTTCCACACCAGAACTGAAGCACATTCCGCTAACAAAGCTGCTATCATCAGTAGACAATTGAAAGTAAATCTCATGTATGTTGAAATTAGTTTTTCCGTTAACCAGCTAACGCCCCCTACGGACGACATCTCTCCAAAGTCAAGACTTGCGTGAACTGAGAACTAACGAGGTCTAACCTTTCAACATATGATTCCTAACATTATGAAACAATGACATTAATGAAGGTGCTCGAATGGGAATCATCATCATGTCATTATTCGTAGAACGTATTCCACATACTCCACTTTCAAAACTTTCGAGGGTATCTAGAAGCCTTTTGTCATAGAGCGGTCTCGCTGATTTTGAATATTTCTCATTCATTCAGTTCGTGCCCGTTTTCTGAAAGGACACTAGATTTCTCTAGTCTACGAAACTGAGTATGTGTGATATGTTCTTTAAAAAGCATTTTTATCTCCAGATTAGGTTGATCAACATACTTATTGTTGCAATCTTTACAGCTTTCACCATGAATCTCAGAGATTTCATCTTCCGTCAACCTGTTTTTTGGGCTGCCTGATACGTGAACGAGCAGTTTTGACAGCCATTTTCAACCCCAACGTCTCTTCTCTTGCTCCTCATTGTGCCTTTAGAAATATTTGTTGAACTGAAATCAATTATGTTACATGCATACCTTCATTATCGAAGGTAATGATATGTCCAGATATATATGAAAGGGTATAACTTGGTAGTAAGATTTAGTTTCAGTGATGATCTTATCGTTTGAACGAATCGATTAAATCGTTGATTATCTTCATATTTACCGTTACTTCAGTTCATATCTGGGACTCCAAAAAGTGAATCCATAAAAATTCTTACACACTTCTTACTCACAGAAGAATATAAGTGATAATAACTTATTTTCGAAAACCAATAGTCTCATTTTCAATGAAACACAACAATCTAGATGAGAACTCTGCAGTAGATGATAAACTACATACGAGCATATTGAGCTGTGAAAATTTGTTGAACTGAGATAGAGACCCTATTTAGCCTGCAAGACTCTATTTAGCTGCGACAACGAGGAAACGTTAAAGAGACTATTTCAAACTATGTACAGGAATAGACATATATAATGACCTCGGTATTTGGCATCCTTCATTATTATCCAGATAATGTTACAGAATTGGTTTGTCAATGATTACAATTATAGCTGTAAACTGTTCATTTCATCAGTATTCACAAAAAATGCGAAATTAATCAGTTTCTGTTTGTTTCAGGTTCCTGGCTATACGTCAGAATGGGTGACTCCTGTGGAGGATCAACTAGAAAAAAAGACCGGAAGGCTAGAGCTCTCCGGGGTCGGTGGTAGCTGGGGTACCCTAAGGCTCCGGTGCGAGGCCACTCTTTTTAGGTTATACCGTGCCAACAGTCTGGAAGTAGAAATCCGACCGGACACACCCCAACCTGCATCTGTTCTGCTCATGGGACCAAGTAGCAGAGGTATGGAACACAATTTATTAATCACACTCTTGCGATTAATTCGTATCGAAGAGATTTGTTATCCTCATGTTGAATCGACATCAAGTTTTTAGATAACTTGATACCTTATATGAACTGAAAGAATTTGAAGTTCTTATTCCGATACTGTTGTTTTTTATGTATAATTCAATGTTCATAGCAGTTTTTTCGGAAGTTTTTTTGTTCCATTCGATTTCTACATGGAAGTGCCCAACCAGCGCAATATTCAAGGAAAATGAAGAATATTATTAACAATGCGAAAAAAATTTCAATAAATCTCAACCAAAACTTAAACTATTATTCAAATTTCTATCGCCTTCTAAGATCGCTTCGCACCGCACTGTCCGCGACACTTGACTATCCCGATAGGCGAGTGGATGGCGTTGATATTTGGCAATCGCAGGAGATAGAAAATGCCTCGGAATTCTATCGAAGCCGGTAGCATTATTTTTGCCACGTTTAGAACGCCAGCGAACATCGAAGAGTCGCGAAACGTCGGTCGGTCTGTGTGCACTCATAGCCATGTCATAATTGGTTTATGGCCTGCATTATTTTCTTTAAGGTATGATTTACAACACTACCCCCTTCCCTGAGGTTGTTCGCCACGAATACCGTTCCAAACAGGAACATCGCAACCCAAGTAAGGACTCTGTCCCTCTATGTGGACAACAACTTGAGGCTTGCTTCTGGGTGACAATTGGATTCTGTACAGCAGATCATTTTTTTTTAGTTACCAAGTAAGGTCCTTGCCATGGTCTTTGCAATTTGGGACACGAACCTTTTCGACGTTAGGGTTGGTAGGGCCATACCGCATTGCTCTCCTAGAAGCTACCGGCAGCAACTCTCTGTTGAATCTTATCTTCATCCTGCCGCTGGAAAGCTGTAATTTGGTTCTGGCAAATTCGTATACAGTTTCCAGTCTCTTCTTCGGGTCATTCACATACTCTGATAGAGGTACCTTTTGGGATTCATCGGATACGTCTATCGAAAGCTTCAGTTCCCTACCAGTTGACAACATGGATGGTGTGTAACCTGTCGCGTCATATTGGGAGCTTCTGTATGCCAACAGGAAATGAGGAACCAATTCATCCCAGTCTCTTTGGTTTTCAAAGACAAACATCGAGAGGTAGTTATTTATGGTGCGTCCGATTCGAAATTGCCGCCCCGATCCGAGTGAAGTTCTTGGGATACTCTGTGACTGGCAATAACGTTCTGCAACAGGGCTTTCACCACCGTTTTAGCCTCTTGGTTGGGTAAGGCTACTACTTCAGGCCATTTGGAGAAATAGTCTCCATCGCAACCATGAGGTACTTGTTATCGGATATAGTCATAGGAAGTGGTCCCAGAATGTCAATTGCGATTCTGTCGAAAGAGCACCCACTGAGGTACTACTTCAACTTTCCTCTTTGCCTTGTCTTCGAACTCTGTTTCAAAGAGCACAGGTCAAAGCTCTCACACCACTCTTTCACGGCAATTGACCTAATAGTACCTCTCACGCACTCTCGCTAGAGTTCTACTTACTCCGAAATGTCCTCCAGTGCGACCATCATGGAGATGTTCAAAAATATTCGGGATGCACGTCTTCGGAAGTATCATCTAGAATTTGTGGGTTCTTCCATCCGGGCTTTTCCATTTCCGAGTGGGTAAGTCAAGAATGCACTTGTAGTCCCATTGGAGACAGTAATCCTTTTCCTGCCGACCTCAATTCTTTGTCAATTCATTCTCATACAGTTTTCAATACCGGATCCTCCTTCTACGATATCTTACCTCGTCCTGAAGGTAGTGTCACCCTCAGAGGCTGTGAATGATTGTACCACGTCAAGGTCAGGTGATTCCTCAGATTTTCTGTCCGTATCCCTAGACAAGGGACCCTTACAGATTGCTGCTACCCTCCGGGTTAGAGGGAATTCGAAGCAGCGGGAGGTAGGGGTGCTTATCTCCCTATCAGAGCTGACCATGAAGGAGTATCTGCCCGCTACCCTGCCACGTCTGGTGGAAAGCTCTTCTCCTGGTAACTGGGTATCCTTGTCCTCCTGGTGTTGACAAAATTCACATCTTTCCACAGTAATCCTTTTCGGGTCCGGTGATTCTTTCCGAAGTTTCCGGAAAACCTTCCTCAAACTTTTTGTCGACTCCTTCAAGCTTTTTTCGAATTCTTCTTCAATTTTCCTTCCGACCCTCTCAAGCTCCTCGTCAAATTTTTTTTGGGCCCCATCAAGCCCCATCGACTTCTTTTTCCAATCCTTCCTTCGTTTATTGAAAAGTTTTTGAATTTTCAAATAAATGAAGTTACATGTGTTTCTTGTTCCGTCAAAATATTTATCAATAATCAACAATATTTATCTATGATTCTTTTTTGTTTATCAAAAATAGTCAATCATAATTCGAGATCTTCCATTCAGCGCAATCGTTTTTCCTTCATCGTTTTTCATACTCCGCCAGGTTCTCTTGCAAAGCCTCCAACATTTTCTTAAGTTCTTCCATCTCGTCGTAATCGACACTCCTTGTTTTCACAATAAAAGTTTAATATAATATTTCGCCCAGAAAAAGCATCCTACTGTTTGTCTGTTTTGTTGCATGTACCCTCATGTTTGAACAGGTACGTTTATAATTGCATATCAGAAATCCATAAACTATTGATGGAAAATAAATACAGTTAATGAAATTGCCTGATGTCATCACCAAATGGACCAACTGATTTGTAAATAATTCCGTAATTGTAATATGTAAAACAATAAATCAACATGGACGTTAATTGAAACATGGAAACGTTTGATTTTTCATTTCCATGATGAAAATGATTCCAAATTGCAACTCAGTCGAATTGCAAACGTGATTAACGTAATTATTTTTGAATAATCATTCTGCGAAACAATCTCTTGTTATGTTTTGAAATGTAGATGAAAACAAAATGCCATTGTATGCCGCCAATGAGTTCAGTACAGAACAAAATATTCATCAAATATATTTGTTTGGCTTTGCCTTTGGCGCCTACGCCCACAGAACGCAAAACCGCATAGTTTCGAGAACATGTTTAGCACTGATCAAGGGAACGAAAAAATTGTTACAAAAATGGAATGAGTCAGACGATTTTGTCAAGGAAAGATACATACGTACATACGAGGTCCAGCTATTAAATCAAATCAAATCAAATGTATTATTAATCTGAAGACCACAAGTGGTATAAGACATGTCAAAATTTTGGATTATAGAGACAAAAAGCAAAATTACAGGGTGAAAAGTTGAAATGATAAGTACAAGCACAGACAGAGTAGGTACGCTACAATTTAAACATCTAGATAAAATATGCAATTACACACAGAGTATGAAGTGATTTATATACTAAAAAATTCTTCCAAAGTATAGACTTTACCCTCAATTAGTACTTTTTTAGTGACTTCTTGAATCTGAAATAGGTAGGTTCATCTTTTATGTTTTGAGGGATTCAATTAAAAATTCGAATTCCGATGCTTAGAGGACCGTTTTGTGATAGGTTCAATCTGTTCAGATGGGTACTCAGCAAATGCCCGGTGGAACGACCGTGAATGTCATTGCGACAGAGCACAGTATTTCTATGTTTGTAAATGTAACAAGCATTTTCCAATATGTAAAGAGAAATAAGGGGTAATTCTTGTAGCTTTGTAAAGAGAGGTCTACTAGATTCTGTTTAGGGTTTGCAAAACATGGCACGAATGCACTTTTTCTGTGTAATGAAGAGACGTTTGGCAGCAGGTGATTATCCCCAAACTATGATTCCTTATGCCAATCTCGACTGAATTCCTGCAAAATATGAATTTTTCATCACTGAAGTTGTCAGGACTTTATGCATATAGCGTATTTGAAATATTTTGGTGTTAATAGTTTTTATTAAAGTAGATACGTGGGTTTCCCAATTTAATGTATCATCTATATTCAGACCTAAGAACTTAACAGAGGAATTACGGTTCATGTTAGTGTTGTTTAAGGTTAGGTTGATATTTTCAACTTGTTTTTGTCTTGTATGGAAGATTGCATCTGGATGATTGCCGAGGCTGTAAAGGCCGATAAAGAAATGGTTACAAAAATTCACATGACAAAAGTCTGTGCTAAGTTGGTGCCATAAAAAAAGCTCTTGCATCAACAGGTCTGCTCAGAATTTCTTGAAAGGTTGAAGAAGATCCCGGACTGATGAAAAACATTATTACTTGCGACGAAACGTAGATTTTTCAATACGATGTTGAAACGAAGCGGCAATCGATGCATTGGAAGACATCTGAATCGCACAGAATCAAAGAAGCAAGGATGTCCGAATCAAAATTCAAGGCAATTTTGATCGTTTTTTCGACATTGACGGTATCGTGATGACTGAATGGGTTCCAGAGGATCAGACTGTCGAACAGGTAACATGAGAATTGATAGATAGAAAGAAATGAACCCATCAATGGCCGGCACGATCCCCAGATCTCATGCTCCTAGATTTCTATCTATGGTCATATGTCAGAGAGGTGGTCTGCCGAAAAAAAACAAGACATGAATATTACAATTACAGAAGTCTTTCGTTCATAATAAACTTCAAATGAATTTCGGAGTGAAATTGTCAATAGACTCAACTTTGTGCATGATTCGAAATGAAATATTACTTGAACACCTGCTATGGAGTTATTCTTTCTACTTTTTTTCAAATTTTTGGTCCATTGTAATATTGCTTCTTCGATTTAACGACTCTTCAATACGCTGTCTGTTCAAAAGTTTTTTTTTTCTCAAAATAAATGTATCCATCCATCAGTTTATATTTTTTCCACTTTAAAGTAGTCCACTTTTTGGTATGTCCTTTAGCTCTCACAGCTATTCGGTTTTTATTTCCTCAATTGTCGCAAAACGTTGTAGTTTCATGAATCTTTCCAATCTTAGGAACGACAAAACTCGTGGGAGGGTCAAATCTGGTAAGTACGGTGGCTGAACATAATGACGGTATTGTTTCTATCCAAAAAAGTACAAACAAGCAATAATGAGTGAGCAGGTACATTATTGTGATGCAAAAGCCATCAATTGTTTTTCCACAATGTGGCAAAAACTACTGATGCACGACGTCACGGTAATTGAAAAAAACTGTGAGCAAAACCTTCACTTTTGATCGAACTTGGCAGGTTACACCAAACTACAGAACAGAATATAAGTCAAATAACAATACAATGCAATTACAATAAGTTATAAGGTAAAAACAATACATTTAGAATTAGCTGAAGTATAAAGACCATATCTCAGAGATAGAACAGTGAAAAATGTCGAGCTGACAACTTGCTGAATTGCATTTGACACACATGGTATGCAGAGGTGAACTTTTCAGAATATTTGTACGTGTTGTTGGCAGATAAAACGAATTAACCATTCTAGAGGTTGGTCTAGGTACAGTGAAATTGAGTTTTTGCAGAATATATGGGTCATTAATTAAATTATTATTCAGTTTAAAAAAAATTGCAGAGTGACAATCCCGACGGTAACTCAAGCTATTCATAACATGTCTAGCTAACAATGCGTCATGGGGAAATCCAATTGGCGGATAGATATTGTCTGATCTGTATGCAACTGATGAGATGGATCCCAGATTATGGATGCATATTCTAAATTTGATCTGACGAAAGCATAGTATGAAGTTTTCGATGTAGATGGATCCGAGAAATCTCTGGAGATTCGTACAATAAATCCATACATTCTGTGTTCAGCAGATAGAGTGGCTTCAATGTGTGGTACAAAAGAAAGTTTTGTGTCGAAGGTAACACCTAGATCGGTGAATGTGAAAGGCCGTTGAAGTGGAATATCATTTATTAAATATTGATATGAAAATAGACGATTTTTCAGTCTGTACGTCATTACATTACATTTACTCGCGTTTGAAGGAAGATTTTTGCTAAAACACCATTGCTCAACACGTTTCAAATTGAGAAGTCCCCGAAGTCATTGATCTCACAATATAATTTCAGGTAATCCGCGTATATCAAACAGTTGACGTCAATGACCTCAACTATGTCGTTCAAGAAGGCGTTAAAGAGAAGTGGACCTAGGTTGCTTCCTTGTGGAACACCCGAGGTAGCTGCACATTCCACAGACTTGAAGTCTTTGAATATAACATACTGACGTCTGTCAGTGAAGGATTATACAAAAAGTTGGGGAACAGGGTCAGAGAAAGGCCGTATCTGTACAATTTCGATAGCAGTCATCCGTGATCAACTCTTTCGAACGCCTTAAAGAAGTCTTCATATGTGACATCAGTCTGGGATATCCTGTCAATGGTTTTAGAAATATATTGGGTAACATTGAAAAGGTTGGTGACTGCCGAGCGACATTTTATAAAACCGTGTTGAAGTGGTGTAATTTGATTGTTCAAATGATAATATAACCTGGATAGATTAAGATAAGGAACACTCTGGCGGAGTTGCATATTATTGATATGAATCTATAATTACCGACATCAAACTTGTCTTCTTTATTATAAATTGGCCGAACTTTAGATAATTTCCATAGATCTGAGATGGTAATAGTTTCAATGCAGATATTTACTAATATTGTCAATGGGCGAGCCAAAACATATGTACCATCTCGGACAATCAGTGCAGGGATGCTGTCGGGACCGTTGTCATTTTCGGTTTCACCTGTTTCAAAGCAACCAACACTTCATTTTCTTCGAAGTAATGAATGTTCAAGACTTGTGAATAGTGATTCGACGATTCTTTATAACAATTTTTCTCGACTTTCTGTAAGAAGCTTGGACCCCTTGTAAAAAAAATTCTGACTCAGAGTGCAATCGCCATATACCACTGTCAATATTTGAATTTAATTTTGTTCACAAAATTGTATATAAATTCTTTGATCCATTTCTTTCCAAAACAATATCGCGGAAAATGTGAAATACTCCTAACTTTTACGCCTTTCACCAACAAAATGAACATGCTGAACAGCTGAAACTGTGAAATCATGTTCAAGACAAATATTTTAACATGAAAAAATGAAAAAATCGCTAATCGAATGTACGTAGCACATGAAATTGAAACATCCACCTTGTTTTTTTCAAGAATTTGTAATATTTCCAATAGGAATGTAGGAGTCAAAACCTACATCATTCTCAAGCTAATAGTCTGGACTATTCTGGTATGGACTCATTTACAAGCGGCTGTTCCATTTGAAAAACAACTTTGACGAGTCACACGATTTTTATATACAACATTCTTTCCAGACTCATCTTAAATGAGAAAATAATTATTGTCCGTTCACGAATCGTTAATACACCGTGTTTCTGTATCAATTTTGACGTAGTTATTTTCCCTCATTCATGTTCCATTTTAATTTTTGTGTTTTTTTTTCAGTTCATATTTCGCAATACAGTGTGTCAATTTCAAAACTTACAATGGGCTATATCTCACGAACGAAAGCTGATATCGAAAAATGCTTGAAACTGTTTCTAGGATAGTAAGGCGGAACTAAAGTGACATACAAGAGAACTCACCCCCATCAACCCTCTAGGCCCCACCCAACAAAACTCAAAAAGTTTCAATTACAAACCCCTACTTGTGATACATCTTTGAAAAGACTATAAAAAATGCTATCCAATGGTATAAATAATAATTGTACAGAGTGAAGCGATAATTGTGAAAGTTTGTCTCAGTGAATATTCCATTTAAGCCAAAGTTTCACCATTATTGCTTCAACCTGTACAATTATTATGTATACAATTGAATAGCATTTTTTATAGTCTTTTCAATGATGTATCACAAGTAGGGGTTTGCAATTTAAACTTTTTGAGTTTTGGTGGGTGGCCTAGGATGTTGATGGGGGTGAGTTCTCTTTCATGTCACTTCAGTTCCCCCTTACTATCCCAGAAACGGTTTCAAGCATTTTTCGATATCAGCTTTCGTTCGTGAGATATAGCCTAAGTTTTAAAATTGACACACTGTATATTCACCCCATACTTATAAAGCGATCTGATCCTCTAATTTCCTTAAAACCCCAGCACATCCATCAATCCTTCATAAACAGCGCCGATAAAAACAAAACAGCATCCTAATCGCTTGATTCACTTGCAGGTAGTAAACGTGCCACGTCATCCAGTCTTCTTCTCTACGGCCTCGTCATCTTAGCGTCTACGACCAGGAGGTGGAAGTATAGTTAAGCCTAACAGCAACTTAGAGAAATGCATAACCAAATCTCAGTGTGCGTGGTTTGTGCGTGTGTTACGATTTACGATTGACGTGCAAAGTGAAAACCTGTTGCTGATTTACTTTTCGGTAAAGGCGAGTGATGTTTTTTTTGATACGATTCGATTTATGAATGTATTCGGGTGGTATTTTAGATTGTGGAATTCGAGATGGGTCTCTAACAAAAATTGAAATCGGGATTCAACTAGATTTATACAGTGTAACGGAAAGATTAATGATTAGTTGTACATAAATAAATCTAAGAATTGGAAGAACAATAGAGTAGTCCCATGTGTATCCCTCCAAATACTATGTTACACCAGGTTACATGTTAGTCCAGTCATCTTATAGTGAGTTTACCTCAAAATTTGAGATACCCAGCTATGAACTCGTATAAACCTGTATTTTTACATCGTGAAAGTTGTCTCAAAACCTACATATCTAAGATCAAAGATCCAAAAAATCGATTTTTTGATTTTTGGGTCATATCTCGTCTCCAAAATAGTAGAGGATTGAATACTCTACAACTATTGTTTCAAACATTTTTTGAAGTGAAAACTTCTTATGGAAAGGTGAACCGCTTCGTTACCTAACGCGTAACGGCACCAGTTTGTCTGGCTTTCCTTTCTCTTACGCATACGTCAGCGGAAGGCAGGCCCCTCCTTTCTTTTTTCAAAGACAAAACCCAAGCACTACAGAAAAATCCTTAAGGTGCTCTCAGCGCGGTGCCTGTGCGAAAATAGCGATTCACATCAGATTTGAATCGCTGAAGATTAAATCCATTTGGAAAAACGTTCTCAAGAAGTTTATTCCACATAAACGCCGTTTTCCAAATAACACAGTTTTTAAACAGTGAAGTTCGTAATGTACTGAGTTGAACCTCAAATCGATGAGCAGCCACAGTCCGTCGCGTATTTCTGATATTTACCGCCCTTGGTGGAATAAAATGTGCCAAGTTACTTGAACATTTCCCGTGAAAGTATATATAGAAGGGAGAAAAATCTCTAACCTTTCTTTGATGTTCCAGACTATCAAGGTTGCAAGTGATATTCACGTTTCCAAAGAAGGTCTGATCTGAGCTTTACAAAGCATCAAAAAGTCATTGAGCTGTGTACAGTTTTCTGGTTCGGAACAGTGTTCCAAGCTTTCGAGAAGCAACCTTCGCTATTCCTGAGATATGACTGTGCCAAGACATACTCTGCCCTCCTAAGCCAAAAAGGCGTATCTCAAACTTTCTTGTTTTAAGATATAAGGAATTTTAATGAATTTCAAAACCGCACCAAGACAGTCAAATTTTTTATGTTTTTTTTTGGGTAAATACAATAAAGATTGACACGACAATGACACGTTAAATAACTTGTATTACATAAACTACTATTCTAGTTTTAAACTGAGATATGGCTAATTGGCTAAGGAATTGAGAACAAAAATTTGAGATACATCTCTTTGCATTAATGATTAATCAATAGATAACGTTCGATTCTGTTTCTTACCACATGGACTTGGATAGGAAATGTAATAATAATTAAAAAATATCTAGAAACGATTCATTAATAATGTGATACATGAAAAATACAATATATTTGTGGGATATTAAAAGAATTTTTCGGAAAATAATACATATTCATACTGGAAATAAACCCAAAAGTATGCAAATAAAGAATGCAAATAGAAAATCATAAATTTTGTTCAGTTCTCATCTGAAACTGGAAGAGTGTCTCAGAATTGCAATCGATTTTTCATAATTCCAGACAAATTTTTCATTATATTGGCTTTCTTCTGCGAAGAAATTTAAAAAACTTTTGTTTGTTTTTTTGGATGGGGGCAGTTTTCCATTTTTTGTTATCTTGGCGGTTGAAAAATTAAGATCAAATGATGGACTATCAAAGTAATTGTCATATTATTCGATCCTCTGTGGACGATTACCTAAACGATATCATGTAAATATGGCATCGACTCTGTACGAGTTAATGGGGGAAAAATCTTCCCGAATGTTAAAATGCTGTAGCTCCACTGGCAATACCTCGGTTTTATATGCAGCACCTTTTACGGCTTCTAATTTTCAAACTACATTTGACAGTGTTGATGACTAAACAACAAACTTTACAGATGAGTTTGATAAGAACCCTTTACAGTGCTGAAACTGCGGCAAACTGGGGTATCAATCAGGGAAGCTACTAATTGTAAGTGATGTAGACGTATCTCTGTGAAGGTCAAATTGTAAATTACCAAAAATCCTTAGCGAAGTAGACGCATCTCTGAGAAGCGGCCGTTTTGCTTAGAAATATGAGTTACGTCCAAACTGCTTAGGTTTTTGTTTCATTTTTGAGATAGGTCTTATATTTCTACCACTTTAGCTGCACAATACGGACGAGATACGTCTATTTCGTTGAGGAAATGGATTAAATACAATTCAAAGTGTCCTTATATAAAGGAATAAGAAATTCAGTGGAATTTGAGATACGTCTTTTAGGCTTAGGAGGGCATGGTGTCCATTTTAACTCCCAACAAGCGTATCAAAGCAGAAATCAGAATTGTCTGACCTGTCATTATTATATCCGGTTTGGAGATAATCATCTTTTTCGAGGAAACCGATGCCTGGGTTTTGGTGGCATTGAATTGAATCTGGTTACTGTCACTGGTTACTTTCACTCCAATTCCAAATTACTTCTAGATCCTCATTAAGATTTTCAACCTTCTGCTGCCGGTGAAGATGTGTTTCCGCAGCCGATGTCCTGGATTCCAAATGTAATGACCAGACAAGTGTGTTGTCGTCAGCAAAGCAATATATTGGATTCTTGTTTTTTCCAATAAGTCGTTGATATACAATAAAAAGAGAATTGGAGACAGTATGGATCCTTGGGGAACACCAGCGTTTATGGTGAAAGTATTTGAGAGAGATCCATCGACGGCCACTTGTAGGAAAAGTTCTTTCAGGAAGCTGAAGAAACCATACACAAAAATGATCCAATAACCAATAGCATCGAAGTATGGCCAGCAAACCCTCATGCCACATACGGTGGAAGGCATGTAGTGTGAGTCTGTTATTGAATAGATAGATAGGAGTTTCGTGGTGACCGTGGTAGTGGACGGACGTGCCAATAACGTCCGCCCACAAAAAAGGTACGCGGATGCCATGTGCCATCGTGGGACTCCATTTTTGTGTTGTGCTAGTCCATTTTGTTAATTTAGGAAATGTGTGAGTGTCATTAAAAAAAAGTGTTGAATAAAGGGCCCCCTTTATTCACGCCGGTATCCAGGCCGGGGTGGTTTAGATAACCACGTAAGGTTTCCCAAGCAGGAGGCGACTCCATAAAAACCAAATTATTTTTATTAATAAATCGAATACAAATAGCGAAACACTCACATTAGATTTCGATAGTCGCGTACACCCTACCATATGCAGGTTTCAAGACACCTTTCAGGATATCAGAGTACAAGTTTATACGAGTTAATAGCTGGGTATCTCAAATTCCGAGATACTTATTTTGACTAAGATGACTGGTGTATGTGTTTAGACCGTTTTTTTCAGCTGATCTCGCTGTTATCATCTCGAAAATTGTAGACATGCAAAGTTGGTTGACATTTGACATTGCAGGATTCAATCCATGACACTCAATTCAAAATATTCAAAAATAACACAGTGAATTTTGTGTGCAGGTTCATGTTCATCATAATCTGACATGGAAGGAATTTCAATGCGACGTTTTGGTCGTTTGAATTCATCATCGCCTTTATTTTCCGATAAGGGCTTCTAATCTTCTCTACCTTCATTATACGAATAAATTCAGACATATGTTTTTTGAAGTTTCTATGCTAAATAACGTCAGCAGAATTCAGTCACTGGAAAATTTACACAAATTCAAACAGAACAATTCATCACGTATTAGACAAGCTCTATTAGCCTTGAACAAAAAACGTGTTACCTCAAAGCTAGTACTAGAGTGCCACCAAGACTTAGCCCTGGATCACCCTGGGCGACCCTGTGAACGTGGCGCCGAAGAAATATCTGGCGATGACCAGAAAAAACCTACGCTTAACAGTAGGTTTTCTGACTGGCCACTGTCAACTAAGGAAACACCTACATATTATGGGGCTAGTGGGCACACCTCTATGCAGGATGTGTGAAGAGAAAGATGAAACTGTCAGTCATGTCCTAGGCAAGTGTCCGGAGTTATTGTCATGCCAGAACAAGAATACTGTATTTCTACGTGCTTTCTCTAACCAAGTTACCATCATCGGAAGATATTGGTGTAGAAAAATTGTGTTTAATAGATTTAGTTCACGATGAATGTTCCAATTCTACCTGTCAACTGTATTTCGATTATGATATTCTCAATTTTGAATTCTCAAACTTTGAACAGTACTTTGTACTTCAATATATCAACTTTGTTTTCAAAAGCGCACGAATATCCCTTCTTTCATATTGAAAGTTTTTTTCAACCGTTTTTCTACCCTTTGCCACAAATACTGGTCTAGTCAAACTCTCTAAAAAATAATCTGATTGAATATTTAAGAAACTCCGCTTACCAAACAAGAATTTTTAATTTACGGCCCACACAAATTAGATTTCTAATGATGTACTATTCAAAATGGAATCATATAAATCGTTCAGATGAAGAAATGCCATTTTCACATGAACAATTAGAATTCAGAATCCACCCTACCGAAGTATTCGTTTCACATAAAACTCTTTTCTGAATGAAAAAATACTCTAGTTTGATACTCTGAAAGATAATTTCTATCAAAATATTTTCTTTGAGGAAAACTCAGCAGTTACAATTCGGGAAGATGATTTATTTTCTACATATACCGTATTTCCAAAACATAAGGCTGTGGCTAATATTGCCATTTCTCTCATCCTGACTTGTAACTGAAGCTGGCTGTGATAACATAGGGTCTTTAATTAAGCCCTTCCTATTTTTAAATTTAAATAAAACAAAGTTTGTGTGATTTGAAGGTGACTGACAATGTTTCATGATGAATTTCATTAGTTCGGACTTCAATTGTCTTAATTATATTAAGCAAAAAATCCTGAAATGAAATTACAGTGAATCCATCAACCAATCAATCACTCAATCAATTTATTCAATTCAGATCCATAGTCTTGTCTATGATAGATATTAGCATATCTTCAATAATAATTACAGTAAATTTTAAAAAATTCTAAATAAATAACAATAAATAAGTGGTGGTGTTCAATTCTTGGACAACGCCTAAGCAAAGCTTG